TACTTGTTCCCAGTGAGCTGTAATTCTCTCTAATCGCTCTATCTTCGGACTCTCTTTCCTTCCTGGTCGCAGCCGAAGTCCCTCTCAGCCTCAGGATTAGGTTTCGTCTTGGACATCTGTCCGGTGCTGGCAAACTCCATCGGTGTTGACGGCTGTGAGCATGTGAGAAAGTGCGAGAAGAGCCAACAACATTATTTCAGTGTTTTGTCTATATTTCCCTCAGATGCAGTGGATGTGAAAGAACATTCAAAATGCTGTTAAACTAAATTACAGTGACCAGCGCTGGTCCAAGTGAACCAGATCACATTTACGGTAATGATGGTGGTCCGTATGAGCAAGACAGTTGAGAAATAAAATACTTATGCGGCCAATTGGCGAAACATGCCCCCGAAATGGAAACATGGTATTCCCGATAGTTTACAGGTCATAGGGTTATTCTGTAAATATTATAGAACCATCGGAAAGTTCTCTGACTCTGTTCTCGGGAACTGCGCCAACCTGTGGTCGTCCTCGAGATCCGGAGCCAGTGCTTGGAAAGTGCTGCCTTCACTTGTACCGAGAAGGTATTTTGAAAGAATAGATTAAGTGCACATTGGAACGAGTGAAGCCATGACAGAGAGACAGAGACCGATCTGGCTTTTTCCATCCATTTGTCAATCACTAATTTACTAAACAATGCTCCTTGTTCAAAGCGTGGGTGATTGTGCTCTAGCATGTCCAATCCTGGAGAAATGGTTTGATTTTATAAGCTGTAGGAGCATTAACAACCAAAATAAGTAGTTTTTATGGTTTTTATTTTTGAATCCCTAGTTTTTTTAATTAAAGGCCTTTGGTGGAGAGAGGGAGGCTCTGGTTCTCAAGAGGCTGTCAGCTACATGTGGCTGGCAGAGAGAGAGGGAGAGACCAGCGAGAGAGACTAGAGCAGAGGTGTCCAAACTGGTCCAGAAGGGGCTGCTGTGGCTGCAGGTTTTCTAGAGCAGACTCCATTTCATCAAATCTTCAGGTTAAGACTGAACTCACTTGAGGAAATGGGCGGAGTCTGCTCTGCTCCTGTTGGGTCTGATAGAAAACCTGCCCTTTCTGGACCGGTTTGGACACCTCTGGACAAGAGTGAGGGGGAGAGACTAGAGAGAGAGAGAGCGAGACCAGCGAGAGAGCGAGACCAGCGAGAGAGCGAGACCAGCGAGAGAGCGAGACCAGCGAGAGAGCGAGACCAGAGAGAGAGCGAGACCAGAGAGAGAGCGAGACCAGAGAGAGAGCGAGACCAGAGAGAGAGCGAGACCAGCGAGACCAGAGAGAGAGCGAGACCAGAGAGAGAGCGAGACCAGAGAGAGAGCGAGACCAGAGAGAGAGCGAGACCAGAGAGAGCGAGACAGCAAATACTTAAGATGCAGATTGATGGTAAAATTGCCTAAAACCAAGTGAGATTCCCCAATGATATAGATTCCAGTTCCAAGCTTCAAGTCGATGGAGACTCAGACCCTAACCCTCCTCCGAAGGTCGAGGAAACCATTAAAGGGTAAATAACGCCCAGAGCTGTCGATCTTTTGGACCAGAGCTGTGTGAAAAGTTAAACCAGACAAATGCCTGAGCGTTTGGCGGTGACTCAGCTGTGTCCAGGCCACAGCTGACTGTAATAACCACCTCCTGTGAGGCCTCAGCGTTTACAATCATATCTGATTTTTATTATTGTGCTTTTCATTTAGCTCGTTTGCTAAGTCAAGGAAGAGGAGCAGCCACAGGCCTGTCTGACAAACCACTCTGCTCTGGTCTCCCTCTGGTCCAGATATTTATAGTCAACCACAATTATTACACACGTTTCTCCTATTGCAAAAAAAACTATATTTACAAATCAGTATTTTAACAGCAAACCCACACATAAAGGACCATATTTCAGATTATTTTATTGCGTCTCTTTCCCTTCACTGATGTTTGTTCAGATTCCTGCTCCGTGGATAATTCTGCTTTGTAAATGAGACGTCTGTAAAACGGTGAAAAAGCAGATATTTTGGATCAATGAAAACATAAGAGATTGTGAAAATACAAGAGAAAAGTTTGTGTGTGTGTGTCTCTGTGTGTCTGTCTGTCTGTCTGTCCGTCCCTCCGTCCATCTGTGTTGTGTCTCTCTCTCTGTGTGTGTCTCTCTGTGTGTGTGTCTCTGTCTCTCTGTGTCTGTGTGTGTCTGTCTCTCTGTGTCTGTGTGTGTGTCTCTCTCTCTGTGTGTGTGTGTCTCTGTCTCTGTGTGTGTGTGTGTCTCTGTCTCTCTGTGTCTGTGTGTGTGTGTCCCTCTCTGTGTGTGTGTGTGTCTCTGTCTCTCTCCGTCTGTGTGTGTGTCTTTCTATCTGTGTGTGTCTGTGCGTCTTTCTGTGCGTGTGTGTGTCTGTATCTATCTCTGTGTGTGTCTCTCTTTATGTGTGTGTGTGTGTGTGTGTGTGTGTGTGTCTCTCTCTCTGTGTGTGTGTGTGTGTCTTTCTGTGTGTCTGTGTGTTTTCCTTGCAAATAATTATTTTGCCAATAATGTTATTTGCTTTGTAGAGTTTTATCTCCATTATCGTTTTGATTTATGATTGTGAACTGTTAATGGCCTCCGGAGTTTCCAAACTACTTATAGTGATTTATAGATAGATAGACAATAGACGGATGGATAGATTTTATAGTTTATTGATCCCTGTAGGAGAAAAGCAGGTGTCCAGCAGCAGAAACGCATCCATCCAAACAAACAAACACATACATGAATAATAAAGCAGTAACATGTTTATATAATTAGTCTTTCTCTAGTTTAAAACCAAAGTTGTGCTGAGGCCTTGGCAGCTCCTCACTTTGGGGACGGTTCTTCTGCTTCGAGTTGTGGGACAGGATGTGGACCGGAGGAGGTTTCCTGTTTCTAATCTGAAGATCTTACAGAATGTTCCAAGCCAATAAATGTTTTTTTTTGCAAGTCTGTGTGCTCGTCCCGCAGCTGAGAATGCACTCATCACAAACCAGGGCTGAGAATCAAATTGAGTGAGACAAGTGTTTACGATCTCCAGTGTCAAGTCCCTCTAAGCCTCTTCCATTGAACTCCAGTCTCCAGTTGGTAAAACGTCTCCAAAGCTTTAGTTCCTGCAGCTTTGAGAGTTCTGGAAGCAGCTGTGAAGGCGCTTCCTCCTCCTTCAAAACCAGCGCATCTTCTTTGTTTACTGCCAGTCTCTCGGGTGATGCTCCAATCGATCTGGAATGTTCTGGATCACAAAAGACGTAGATTAATTTGACCCAGATTTAATCCTGATCTCGCGCCTTCAACTTGCTGCATCTGCACTCTCTGGTGGTGGTGTCTGAGTCATCGCTAATGGCTTCCATCAGTGACCGGCTCTGGCTCGCTGCGGTGATCTGGCAAAGTCATGTGATGTTACCGAGACGTTTTTGCAGATTCTGGGGGTAATTGAAGGCTCCGGGCACCCGCACTTCAAACGCCAGTCATACCAGCGGCTGGGAAAGGGTTAGGGGCAACAAACATGATGTTATTGGGATTGGTGTGGTTTGGGTTTTCTGCGGCGGAGCATAGTTGTCTCTCTCTTTAAACGTTGATTATTTGTGCATGTCTCAGCTGGGCCTACCTCAAAGTCATGGTTTAATATGGTAAGGAAGGAGCTATTCTCAGATGCCAGATCAGAGAGAGTAGAGAGAGAGAGAGAGACCAGAGAGGGAGAGCAAAGCGAGAGAAGAGAAGGTACAGTGGCTGAGTGGATAGCACTCTCGCCTCTCAGCAAGAAGGTCCTGGGTTCGAATCCCGGTCGGACCAGGGCACTTCTGAGTGGAGTTTGCATGTTCTCCCCGTGTCTGCGTGGGTTTCCTCCGGGTACTCCGGTTTCCCCTACCACTAAAAATATGTCCAATAGTTCTAGCATGCGCCTCCTGTACTGGCCCCTCCCATCTCTGTGTGGAGTGAGAGACAAATGCCCAAAAATTAACAATTGTAAACCGCTTTGAGACTCAGATCTGCAGTGAAAAGGCGGTATATAAATAAAAACTTACTTACTTACTTATTGAGAGGAGAGACCACGCGAGGCCTCTTTAAAATGTTTGTAAGTTTAGTCAGAGCGTCTCTGAAGCGTTGCGTGCGTGGTCTCTGACCTCTCATTATAAAGAGTTTGCTTCGTGCCAAGTGAATGTTTCCGACCATTTGTTTTTCTGTCTGTTTGCGATGACAACATAATTATACGTTAATGTGAGATCTGTTGTCACATAAGAGTTATACTGCCCCAGTGTGTGTGCATATGCAAAGAGGGTCCCCCAGTATGTGTGCATCGGCAAAGAGGGTCCCCCAGTGTGTGTGCGTCTGCAGAGAGGTTCCCCTTGTCTCTGTGCGTCTGCAGAGAGGGTCCCCCAGTGGTGGTTCCTGGTCTATCTATAGGAACAACACTCCAGACTCCAGCTCTAACGTCTCGGACTCAGAGTTTGAGAGCTGTCCTCATGTTTCTTCCAAACAGTTCCTACTTTAGTTTCCTCTGTGCGTTGGGAATACAGTCCCACATGAGTCTAAGAAAACAACGTATAATTGAGTGAATGAGTCATGAAGTTGTTTGTTTAATGCATAAATAGCGTTGGGGTGAGAATAAGTGGGAACATGACCCCAGCTGTATTTACATCTCAGATCAATAAGAGAATAAACATATGAGACACTCATGACGCTTTATGTTCCAGCAGAGAGAGACCAGAGAGAGACCAGAGAGAGACCAGAGAGAGACCAGAGAGAGACCAGAGAGAGACCAGAGAGAGACCAGAGAGAGACCAGAGAGAGACCAGAGAGAGACCAGAGAGAGACCAGAGAGAGGGAGTGAGAGACCTGAAAGAGAGGGAGAGAGAGAGACCAAAGCGAGGGGGAGGCCAGAGAGAGAGACCAGAGGGAGACCGGGGAGAGAGAGAAGCAAAAGCTGATGTAAAGACATTTGTGAAACTGTGATTGTACACTGACATCCTCTGGTTTTGTTGACATAAACTTTTCACTCTGTTTCCTCCAGGTGCTACGGGGAGCTCAGCTGATAGCGGTGGCTTCAGCTGATGGAAGCACCACCGCTGTGGAAGGAACCGCCCTCCCCCCAGACATCCAGGTGCAGTACGTGCAGCTCGCCCCAGTGTCTGAGCACACGGCTGCAGTGGAGGTAAGATCTATAGTACCACTTTAGTATCATAGAGACCAGAGGGAGAGAGACCAGAGGGAGAGAGACCAGAGGGAGAGAGACCAGAGGGAGAGAGACCAGAGGGAGAGAGACCAGAGGGAGAGAGACCAGAGGGAGAGAGACCAGAGGGAGAGAGACCAGAGGGAGAGAGACCAGAGGGAGAGAGACCAGAGGGAGAGAGACCAGAGGGAGAGAGACCAGAGGGAGAGAGACCAGAGGGAGAGAGACCAGAGGGAGAGAGACCAGAGGGAGAGAGACCAGAGGGAGAGAGACCAGAGGGAGAGAGACCAGAGGAAGAGAGACCAGAGGGAGAGGGACCAGAGGGACCAGAGGGAGAGGGACCAGAGGGAGAGGGACCAGAGGGAGAGGGACCAGAGGGAGAGGGACCAGAGGGAGAGGGACCAGAGGGAGAGAGACCAGAGGGAGAGAGACCAGAGGGAGAGAGACCAGAGGGAGAGAGACCAGAGGGAGAGGGACCAGAGGGAGAGAGACCAGAGGGAGAGAGACCAGAGGGAGAGAGACCAGAGGGAGAGAGACCAGAGGGAGAGAGACCAGAGGGAGAGAGACCAGAGGGAGAGGGACCAGAGGGAGAGGGACCAGAGAAAGACGGGGGGAGAGACCAGAGGTACCATTTATCTTTTCCGTATCAAAACAGCAGTTTTCAAACAGTTTTTCAACACCGTCAATCAAACAGTTCACCATATTTTGAATATTTGTCTCACATTAACCACTGAGCTCATAGCATTTGTGGTTAAAGGGGATCGCATTTGTTTCCACAGTAAGAAGGCCATTTAAATAAAATATGTTATTGGTCTATTTGGTACAGAATATAATAGCCACAGAGAAGGACAGATCTTTTGAAGTCGTCACTTAGACTTCTAAATAAAACGGCTCTTCTCTTTTGTTATGTCTGGTTTTGAATAAAATCACATGTTGCTTCTCCTCATGTGAGAAACAGAAAGGCCTTGAACGATGCAGGTCTGTGTGATCTGCTTCATGTTGTGATGGAGACTGTTCTTTGTTCTGAGTAAATGTGCGGAGCAGCCGAGCTCTGATTCTCTTTTATTGATCCTTGTTGACAATCGGTGGTGTTTAGTTTCTACATGAAGATTCCTGATTAGATATTTGGAATGTTGGAGACTGAGAAACCGATAGATCTCGACCCAGAATAGTTTAGTGTGTTTTTTCTCCTGCTGGATTCCTGCTCGTTCTGTAACTCTCAGAGTCGGGGGTTTGTTGCAGAAAGTACTATTTGTTTACAGAAGTGATTTATTTGAAAGGCCTCATTTCTTCCAGTGTTTGATTTTACACAGACTGTGACAGATGTCAACAACACGGACCGAGGAATGCAGCGTTAGCATGATCTCAGAGCTAACATCTGTGGAACTATGACCAACAAACTGGAAAACCCTGATATTCACTGATGACCGAAGACCAATGTGAAACAAACGGGATCACACATGCTAACATGTACAGTAGCATCACATGCTAACATGTACAGTAGCATCACATGCTAACATGTACAGTAGCATCACATGCTAACATGTACAGTAGCATCACATGCTAACATGTACAGTAGCATCACATGCTAACATGTACAGTAGCATCACATGCTAACACAGAAAGGGAAAGCACTATTTGCGACTCACGGCAACTTCCGGTGACTCGCGTGACTCAGGCGCTGTGAGCCGCGACTCAGCAGCCAGAAGTCGTGACTCACGGTTAAAAATAACACAATTCTTTGCTTCTTAGGGGTATCTGGGAATGATCAATGAGACAATATGGATCTGGAGGCATTCTTTACAAGTAATCAGTATGTTAGACACTCTACATCAGCTAGTATGTGTTTGTATAGCAGTCCATGTCCGTTAACCACTGACTCAGGCGCTGTGAGCCACGAATCAGAAGCCAGAAGTCGTGGCTCGCGGTTAACATGTACATTAGCATCACATGCTAACATGTACATTAGGGACCGCGTACAGAGACAGATTAGTTCTGCAGATTATAGCTGGATGCTAGTTTCCATCTGCAGTCCACGGTCACAGATGAATAAAGTACTGTACTGTTCTCTAACAACACTTTACTGTTCACTACATTTCATTCTTTCTGCATCCGGTACATTCACATTTCTTAACTCTAACTACATTTACAACATTAAGGACAGTTATTGGTAGCTCCCAAGATACAGGTTAAAGACCGTGCTCTAAAGTAATTAGATAATTTCGGTTTTAATAATGATTTAGACAAGATTTTATAGCACGAGATCTGGCAAGATGGAAGTTGTTGAACTTGCGCCTCATTCCTAATATTTACAAATGATGAATCCTAATCTTGGCCACACCACGACAGACCAGAGACACTGTGTCCCACATGGTACAGGACAGAAGGGTCCTCTCCCAAACTCAGAGACTTTAGACAGTTCTAATGTGTTTCTGAGACTGTTTCCAAACAGGTGGTTCCACTCTCACATGTTCTGTTTGTTTATCTCTGCATTCATCTCATATTTCCTCAGCTCGTTTTGCACAGAGTGAGTTTTGACACTGATTCAAGTAGTATTGCAAACATCAATGCAAAAGTTCAAGGTAACACCATCAATAAACCTCCACACTGAGTAAAAGGAAAAGATATTATGGATTACATTTTTACCTCTTTAGGGTTTAAGGACATTTCTGGACAGTGGTCTTTCCTTATGGATCCTACACTGCAAAAATGAGTGAAAAATAAGTCCAAATTTGGCAAAATGTGTCTTAATTTTTGCACATTCTGACTGAGCCTTAAACAAAGATTTTCTAATGGGGAAAAACAAAATAGTCCTCTCTCTCTCTGGTCTCTCTTTAGTCTCTCTCTGGTCTCTCTTTAGTCTCTCTCTGGTTCTCTCTCTCTGGTTCTCTCTCTGGTCTCTCTCTCTGGTTCTCTCTCTGGTCTCTCTCTGGTCTCTCTCTCTGGTCTGTCTCTCTGGTCTCTCTCTCTGGTCTCTCTCTCTGGTCTCTCTCTGGTCTCTCTCTAGTCTCTCTCTGGTCTCTCTCTGGTCTCTCTCTGGTCTCTCTCTGGTCTCTCTCTCTGGTCTCTCTCTGGTCTCTCTCTGGTCTCTCTCTGGTCTCTCTCTGGTCTCTCTCTAGTCTCTCTCTAGTCTCTCTCTGGTCTCTCTCTGGTCTCTCTCTGGTCTCTCTCTCTGGTCTCTCTCTGGTCTCTCTCTGGTCTCTCTCTCTGGTCTCTCTCTGGTTTCTCTCTCTGGTCTCTCTCTAGTCTCTCTCTGGTCTCTCTCTCTGGTCTCTCTCTCTGGTCTCTCTCTCTGGTCTCTCTCTCTGGTCTCTCTCTCTGGTCTCTCTCTGGTCTCTCTCGCTCTGGTCTCTCTGATTTTCCAACGGGACAAAGCAAAATTATCTAGTCTTAAAAAGATAAAGAAATGTCTCCTTTGGAATGAGGAAATACATGTAAAAAGACCATTTTTATCTCATGTTTAAGGCTTGGAAGGTTTCTTTAATATGACAAAACATGTGAAGAAGCTGGTATTGTGTAGTCTCCATGTCGATATTGTGTAGTTTAATATCATTGTGTTGTCTCCTGCAGTGTTGTGATGCCCAGCTCTTTGTGTGTATCTGTATCTGGTCTTGTGTGTGAGTCTGGGGTCCCGTATCCATCGCAGCTGTTGAATGAGCTGTTATTGTCTGGCGGTGACGCACACGGGGCCCTGGATGTCGCAGGTGTGAGTGAACCCTCCGAGGAAGCAGTGACTCATCATCATCATCATCATCATCATCACCATCATCATCCTCCTCCAGGACTGATCCCGTCTCTTTAAAAACTCTTTCTAGCCTCATTTCTGACAGCGGACACAGATGTTGTCAAAACCCATTTCCAACAAGACCCTTTTGTGCGTCCCCTTTCTTCTTCCCCACACTTTGTTCTCCTCAGAGCTCGTCTGTCAGCCTCCACTCCCCGCTGTCTAATTTGCGGCCCCCTTCTGTCATTCTTACCTTGACTCCGTGTGTTTTTTGTCTTGATCTTGTGCAGGCGGCGGAGCTGGCCTTGCACACGGACATGGAGGTGAAAGAAGCCATCCAGGGAGCCATCCAGGGGGAGAGCGGCGAGGTCAAGATGGAGATCGTTACCGCGGTTACTGCCACTTAAACAAGTTGGAGGTTGTTACAGCGGTGTCTGCAACATAAACAAAATGGAGGTCGTTACTGCCACTTCAACAAAATGGATGTTGTTACCGCGGTTACTGCCACATCAACAAAATGGATGTTGTTACTGCAACATAAAACAAAATGGAGGTTGTTACCGCGGTTACTGCCACTTCAACAAATTGGAGGTTGTTACTGCGGTTACTGCAACATAAACAAAATGGGGGTCGTTACCGCGGTTACTGCCACTTGAACAAAATGGAGGTTGTTTCCGCGGTAACTGCAACATAAACCAACTCAAACTGAGAATGAATTTAGTCTGAGAAGCGACTGTGGTTTTAAAACGCAGAGAGGAGACGTGGAAGTGACTGATTGTGGCGTTAGTTTTACGGAGGAACGACGAGAACGATGTTGGGCCTAAAGACAGAGGTTCCCAGGCCACACAGATGCACAGTGGGACATTATCACTTGTTTATATCTGCTCTGGGAAGAGGATCATGGTTAACCCCGAAGAGGAGTTTGCACGCTCTGCTAGTCTCCCAGGCCCCGACAAGGTTTTTTTTTTTTTTGGTGAAATGACGAAGAGAAACGAGCAGAGGATGAAATGTGTTTAATGTGTTGTTTGATTCAATTTATTTTATGTTATTTGTGTACAGCCCTAAATCACAACAGATCAGAGACACAATGAAATAATAACACACACATACAAGACTTTGGTCCATAGACTGAGACTGAAGACCCAGGACTGAGACTGTAGACCCAGGACTGAGACTGTAGACCCAGGACTGAGACTGTAGACCCAGGACTGAGACTGTAGACCCAGGACTGAGACTGTAGACCCAGGACTGAGACTGTAGACCCAGGACTGTAGACCCAGGACTGAGACTGTAGACCCAGGACTGTAGACCCAGGACTGAGACTGTAGACCCAGGACTGAGACTGTAGACCCAGGACTGAGGCTGTAGACCCAGGACTGAGGCTGTAGACCCAGGACTGAGGCTGTAGACCCAGGACTGAGGCTGTAGACCCAGGACTGAGGCTGTAGACCCAGGACCGAGGCTGTAGACCCAGGACCGAGGCTGTAGACCCAGGACCGAGGCTGTAGACCCAGGACTGAGGCTGTAGACCCAGGACTGAGGCTGTAGACCCAGGACTGAGGCTGTAGACCCAGGACTGAGGCTGTAGACCCAGGACTGAGGCTGTAGACCCAGGACTGAGGCTGTAGACCCAGGACTGAGACTGTAGACCCAGGACTGAGACTGTAGACCCAGGACTGCGACTGTAGACCCAGGACTGCGACTGAAGATCTAAAAGGTCAATGTTCAAATTCTGAATCAAGTCAGATCCACGTTTGCAATACTCTATATTAACAATTTTATATTTTCAATATATTGGGCTTGTCTTTCTTTGTTTTCTGGTGTCCCTCTCTCTGGTCTCTCTCTGGTCTCTCTCTCTCTCTCTCTCTCTCTCTGATCTCGCTCTGGTCTCTCTCTGGTCTCTCTCTGGTCTCTCTCTCTGGTCTCTCTCTGGTCTCTCTCTGGTCTCTCTCTCTCTCTCTCTCTCTCTGATCTCGCTCTGGTCTCTCTCTGGTCTCTCTCTGGTCTCTCTCTCTGGTCTCTCTCTGGTCTCTCTCTCTGGTCTCTCTCTGGTCTCTCTCTGGTTTCTCTCTGGTCTCTCGTTCTGGTCTTTCTTTAGTTGTCATTGTTGATTTGATGCTGTGTGATATGAAGATGATGTAACCGCTGTGTCCCAGACTCTGGTTCAGAACCCGCTTCCTCAGAGGTCATGTGACTTTCTCTCCTTTTGCCTTTTGTTTTTACAGTGAACTTCCTGCAGCAATTACTTCCACAACATTTATTTTTCTAAAGACTCAGATCCATGTGTTTGATTTGTAAATATGTGACAATTTAAATATAATGGTTTTTCTTGTCAATCTATTCATTTGTTTCATTTCTCAGTGAGACCAGAGAGAGTGAGAGAGGCCAGAGAGAGTAGAAAGAGGGAGAGACCAGAGAGAGGCCAGAGACAGGGGGAGAGAGACCAGCGAGAGAGACCAGAGTGAGACCGGAGTGAGACCGGAGTGAGACCGGAGTGAGACCCGAGTGAGACCCGAGTGAGACCCGAGTGAGACCCGAGTGAGACCCGAGTGAGACCCGAGTGAGACCCGAGTGAGACCCGAGTGAGACCCGAGTGAGACCCGAGTGAGACCAGAACAGGATCAATAGTATGTTTCCTGGTGCAGACCCAGAACAGACTGTGATCTCAACATTGGAGTCATACAAAGTGTTGGACTAATGTAATGATCCCAAAGTCATAAATAAGATAAGAATAACTCTGTAAAAGCCCAGTGTCTGTGGGAGAGAGTTCCCAAGCTCCGTGTGATGTCACCGTGTGTTTTGGGGAGAGCCATGAACCAGACAACAACTGATAAAACAACGGTCAGTCTTGGCCCAGTCTTTGTTTCTCTTCAGTCTGATGCCTCTGACCTCTTTAATCCCCATCTTCACCAGAGAGAGAGAGAGAGGCCCGGGAGAAGAGAGGCCTGGGAGAAGAGAAGGAGAGACTGGAGAGAGAGGCTCGGGAGAAACCAGAGAGAAGAGAGGCCAGAGACAGAGAGACTTGAGAGAAGAGGAGAGGCCAGAGAGAGAGAGAGAGGCCTGGGAGAAACCAGAGACAGAGAGACTTGAGAGAAGAGGAGAGGCCAGAGAGAGAGAGAGAGGCCTGGGAGAAACCAGAGACAGAGACTTGAGAGAAGAGGAGAGGCCAGAGAGAGAGAGAGAGGCCTGGGAGAAACCAGAGAGAAGAGAGGCCAGAGACCGAGAGACTTGAGAGAGAGAGAGAGGCCTGGGAGAAACCAGAGAGAAGAGAGGCCAGAGACTTGAGAGAAGAGGACAGGCCAGAGAGAGAGAGAGGCCAGGGAGAAGAGAGGCCAGGGAGATGAGAGAGAAAGGCCTGGGAGAAGAGAGAAGAGAGGGACCTGAAATAAGAGAGGCCAGAGAGAAAGACCACAGAGATCAAAGACTACAGAGAGAGGGACACCAGAGAAAGAGACTAGAAAGAGATAACACAGAGAGAGACCAGAGATAGACCAGAGAGTGTCTGTTAAATATCTTGGCTTGCTCTTCTCCTTCGAGCCTCCATTAAAACCTGGAAGCAGAATCCCGCGCTCATCATTCTACTTTTACAAGATTGGGCGGCATCCAGGAGGTGAGTGGTGGCCCTAACACGGGGTCTCTCTCGTCTTGCCTCGAACCTAACCTGCTGAAAGTGATGGATGGAGAGATGAGATAGATCAGAGCTTGGAGAGCGAATGGACGTGGAGTGACGGACACGAAACAGACAGAGGTCTCTCTCTGCTTCTCTCTCAGCGGCTTTGAGTTAGTCCTGAGATGACAGTAGATCCTCTGGCATCTGCTGCTTTTAAGTAGGCTCGCTCTCTCTCTCGCTCTCCCTCTCTCTCTCTGCCAAAGGAAAGGTAATCCTTCTCTGTTATGGATTTTTATTAGTTGGAGCAAAAAAAAAACTTGTCAGCCAATACCAAATACCTGTGGTCGTAAATCACTGTGGCATTGGTTGATTTATAAAGGCTACCAGGAGAGAGCGAGAGCGCAGCTGTTGTCAAAACAAAGATTACATGTTTGTTTTGGTGCTGGTCTGAAATTGGAATTGTATTTTTTGGGCAAAGCTGGAATCATAACTCACAGTTCATGAAATGAGACCAGAGAGAGAGAGAGACCAGAGACCGCAGAGAGAGAGACTATAGATCAGAGAGAGACCAGTTGAAACACAGTCTCTCCACACATTTGTTGCTACAGAGATTGAGGTTTTTGGAAACCGTGAAAAACACAAAACTAAACTATTTTCTTCAGTTCTCTGTGATTTAAAACAAATGAAGTGAGTCTCAGATGGTTCCAGTCTCACTATATTTTATTTTTTGTCATTTTTATTACAAATAAACAATTAAACTGCTGTTTTTAATTTGTGTTATGTTATGTTTGTGTGGATCCTGGACACCTGCATTTCTCCTACAGGGGTCTCTCTCTGGTCTCTCTCTGGTCTCTCTCTGGTCTCTCTCTGGTCTCTCTCTGGTCTCTCTCTGGTCTCTCTCTGGTCTCTCTCTGGTCCCTCTCTGGTCTCGCAGGAGGCCAGTCCTGCTCTTCAGAGTCCCAGCAGTTTTTAACCTTGATTTGAACATTGTCAGAAAAAAAGTTTGTTTCAGGATGACTGTCCCAGATTTTAGCTGCAAAAATCTGTATAGAAATATAGTTGTCTAAGTATTCTTTCTCATCACTATTATAAATGCTTGTAACACCCGTGTCTCAGTGGGACCAGAGGATTCAGGCAGGACTCAGTGGGACCAGAGGATTCAGGCAGGACTCAGTGGGACCAGAGGAATCAGGCAGGACTCAGTGGGACCAGAGGAATCAGGCAGGACTCAGTGGGACCAGAGGATTCAGGCAGGACTCAGTGGGACCAGAGGATTCAGGCAGGACTCAGTGGGACCAGAGGATTCAGGCAGGACTCAGTGGGACCAGAGGAATCAGGCAGGACTCAGTGGGACCAGAGGAATCAGGCAGGACTCAGTGGGACCAGAGGAATCAGGCAGGACTCAGTGGGACCAGAGGATTCAGGCAGGACTCAGTGGGACCAGAGGAATCAGGCAGGACTCAGGGGGACCAGAGGATTCAGGCAGGACTCAGTGGGACCAGAGGATTCAGGCAGGACTCAGTGGGACCAGAGGAATCAGGCAGGACTCAGTGGGACCAGAGGATTCAGGCAGGACTCAGTGGGACCAGAGGATTCAGGCAGGACTCAGTGGGACCAGAGGATTCAGGCAGGACTCAGTGGGACCAGAGGAATCAGGCAGGACTCAGTGGGACCAGAGGAATCAGGCAGGACTCAGTGGGACCAGAGGATTCAGGCAGGACTCAGTGGGACCAGAGGATTCAGGCAGGACTCAGTGGGACCAGAGGATTCAGGCAGGACTCAGTGGGACCAGAGGAATCAGGCAGGACTCAGTGGGACCAGAGGAATCAGGCAGGACTCAGTGGGACCAGAGGATTCAGGCAGGACTCAGTGGGACCAGAGGATTCAGGCAGGACTCAGTGGGACCAGAGGATTCAGGCAGGACTCAGTGGGACCAGAGGAATCAGGCAGGACTCAGTGGGACCAGAGGAATCAGGCAGGACTCAGTGGGACCAGAGGATTCAGGCAGGACTCAGTGGGACCAGAGGAATCAGGCAGGACTCAGTGGGACCAGAGGATTCAGGCAGGACTCAGTGGGACCAGAGGAATCAGGCAGGACTCAGGGGGACCAGAGGATTCAGGCAGGACTCAGTGGGACCAGGGGATTCAGGCAGGACTCAGTGGGACCAGAGGATTCAGGCAGGACTCAGTGGGACCAGAGGAATCAGGCAGGACTCAGTGGGACCAGAGGATTCAGGCAGGACTCAGTGGGACCAGAGGATTCAGGCAGGACTCAGTGGGACCAGAGGATTCAGGCAGGACTCAGTGGGACCAGAGGAATCAGGCAGGACTCAGTGGGACCAGAGGATTCAGGCAGGACTCAGTGGGACCAGAGGATTCAGGCAGGACTCAGTGGGACCAGAGGATTCAGGCAGGACTCAGTGGGACCAGAGGAATCAGGCAGGACTCAGTGGGACCAGAGGAATCAGGCAGGACTCAGTGGGACCAGAGGATTCAGGCAGGACTCAGTGGGACCAGAGGATTCAGGCAGGACTCAGTGGGACCAGAGGATTCAGGCAGGACTCAGTGGGACCAGAGGAATCAGGCAGGACTCAGTGGGACCAGAGGAATCAGGCAGGACTCAGTGGGACCAGAGGATTCAGGCAGGACTCAGTGGGACCAGAGGATTCAGGCAGGACTCAGTGGGACCAGAGGATTCAGGCAGGACTCAGTGGGACCAGAGGAATCAGGCAGGACTCAGTGGGACCAGAGGAATCAGGCAGGACTCAGTGGGACCAGAGGATTCAGGCAGGACTCAGTGGGACCAGAGGATTCAGGCAGGACTCAGTGGGACCAGAGGAATCAGGCAGGACTCAGTGGGACCAGAGGAATCAGGCAGGACTCAGTGGGACCAGAGGATTCAGGCAGGACTCAGTGGGACCAGAGGATTCAGGCAGGACTCAGTGGGACCAGAGGATTCAGGCAGGACTCAGTGGGACCAGAGGAATCAGGCAGGACTCAGTGGGACCAGAGGATTCAGGCAGGACTCAGTGGGACCAGAGGATCCTGAACCCACGGTCACTCACTCCTCTGTGCTGTGATTTTACGCGATGATTAACGCTGATAAAGTTTCCATCTGAAGTTACGTCCTCATGCGTGGGAAGGGACGGGGCTGGGAGGTGCTCTGTGCGTCCTGCTCCAGATGCGAGTGAGTGAAGGAGGAGAGGAGGAGAGGAGGAGGAGGAGGAGGCCCGACCAACAACAACCAAAAACAATTCCAGTCAACATTACACCGAAGAGAGATTACAACATCACCAGGGAACCTCCCGCAGACCCCATGGTGCCAGACCTCAGCGCCACATGGTGAGTCTTTGGCACGCGTAATGCTACTTTTACGCACGGGGAAGATGGCTCATGGCGTGACGCACTGATGGGCCGATGTGTGCAGATGTGTGCAGATGTGTGCAGATGGATACAGACTGTTTTAACTGTGACATGAGATGCACGTGTTGACAAGTGCAAAAGTTAGCGCCTAAAGTTGCTAGCGTCACTGCTGCAGGTGCATCGCTGTCACGTGGGATTCTCTCTTTACGATTGAAAATATTGAGGGAATTTAAGTGTTTTCATGTTGTTTTTAAGTCTGTAAACGTCTGTAGACTGTGGGCGACTGGACACGTCCGGTATGAGTCCATGATAAAGAAAACTGTAGCTGAAGTGTAGCCGCTGCAGCTAATGATGCTAACAGGCTCAGACGTTAGCCCCATTTCCACCAGCTGCTCTCAGCTGCTGTTCGGCTGTTCAAATTGATGATGAGAGCTCAGTTATTAAAAGAGCAGTATGTAAACAGCCTCTCCCACTCTCCCTGACTCAGGTTGCCAGATATGCAGACGAATCCAGCTGGGACCATAACATCTGAATAGAGTTTTGTCAACAACAAATTTATAACCAACACCTTTTTCACAAAGATAGAAATCCTGGTTTTATTCCTTGTTTTGTCGTAACTTGTTGCAATGCTATCTCGTTGCTATTCAGCTCGTTACTATGCTATCTCGTTGCTATGCAGCTCGTTACTATGCTATCTCGTTGCTATGCAGCTCGTTACTATGCTATCTCGTTTCTATGTAGCTTGTTGCTTTGCTAGCTGGTAACTTCACTCATACATAAAGTTACGGCTGTAGCGCTGGAGCTAACCTGCTCTCTCTCTGGTTTATGCAAATACATGAAATCTGGAAAGTTATTTTCTAACTTGGTGAGTTTATAGTTTTATTCTGTGTCATTATTCTTCCAAATATATTTGATTATTGTGAGTTCTAGCTGTAACTTCCAGAGCAGTTACCAGAGTATAAGCACTGGTTACCATAGCAACAGACTGTTTACTGTTAGCAGTTAGCATTCAGCCTTTTGACGGTTTTTTTCTCGTTTTCAGATTCATTTTGCATTTTTGCATTATATTCCAAAAATGGTAACACTTTGATAAGCCCTTAACAGCTAATGAAGTGATAATTAATGTATCTTAAAGCTAACCCTATCCCTAATGCTAACGCTAACGCTAACCCTCATGAGTAAGTGTCTGTTAGTAGTTAGAAGTTGAATAAGGACTAATAAGTGCTCTGTAAGGAACGTCCTGGCCTCTCCATTGACTCTGTAATACTGTGTGACGTCAGTTGGTGTGTGTGTGACGTCAGTTGGTGTGTGTGACGTCAGTTGGTGTGTTTGTGACGTCAGTTGGTGTGTGACGTCAGTTGGTGTGTGTGACGTCAGTTGGTGTGTGTGACGTCAGTTGGTGTGTGTGTGACGTCAGTTGGTGTGTGACGTCAGTGGGTGTGTGTGTGACGTCAGTTTGTGTGTGTGACGTCAGTTGGTGTGTTTGTGACGTCAGTTGGTGTGTGTGACGTCAGTTGGTGTGTGTGTGACGTCAGTTGGTGTGTGACGTCAGTGGGTGTGTTTGTGACGTCAGTTGGTGTGTGACGTCAGTGGGTGTGTGTGTGACGTCAGTTTGTGTGTGTGACGTCAGTTGGTGTGTTTGTGACGTCAGTTGGTGTGTGTGACGTCAGTTGGTGTGTGTGACGTCAGTTGGTGTGTGTGACGTCAGTTGGTGTGTGTGTGTGACGTCAGTTGGGTGTGACGTCAGTGGGTGTGTGTGTGACGTCAGTTTGTGTGTGTGACGTCAGTTGGTGTGTTTGTGACGTCAGTTGGTGTGTGTGACGTCAGTTGGTGTGTGTGTGACGTCAGTTGGTGTGTGACGTCAGTGGGTGTGTGTGACGTCAGTTGGTGTGTGACGACGTCAGTGGGTATGTGTGACGTCAGTTGGTGTGTGTGACGTCAGTTGGTGTGTATGTGTGTCAGTTGGTGTGTGTGACGTCAGTTGGTGTGTGTTAACGTCAGTTGGTGTGTGACGTCAGTGGGTGTGTGTGACGTCAGTTGGTGTGTGTGACGTCAGTTGGTGTGTGTGACGTCAGTTGGTGTGTGTGACGTCAGTTGGTGTGTGTGACGTCAGTTGGTGTATGTGACGTCAGTTGGTGTGTGTGACGTCAGTTTGTGTGTGTGACGTCAGTTGGTGTGTGTGTGATGTCAGTTGGTGTGTGTGATGTCAGTTTTTGTGTGTGACGTCAGTTGGTGTGGGTGACGTCAGTTGGTGTGTGTGTGATGTCATTTAGTGTGTGTGACGTCAGTTGGTGTGTGTGACGTCAGTTGGTGTGTGTGTGATGTCAGTTGGTGTGTGTGATGTCAGTTTTTGTGTGTGATGTCAGTTGGTGTGTGTGACGTCAGTTGGTGTGTGTGTGATGTCATTTGGTGTGTGTGACGTCAGTTGGTGTGTGTGACGTCAGTTGGTGTGTGTGACGTCAGTTGGTGTGTGTGACGTCAGTTGGTGTGTGTGTGTGACGTCAGTTGGTGTGTGTGACGTCAGTTGGTGTGTGTGTGACGTCAGTTGGTGTGTGTGTGTGATGTCAGTTGGTGTGTGTGACGTCAGTTGGTGTGTGTGACGTCAGTTGGTGTGTGTGACGTCAGTTGGTGTGTGTGACGTCATTGGTGTGTGTGACGTCAGTTGGTGTGTGTGACGTCAGTTGGTGTCTGTGACGTCAGTTGGTGTGTGTGTGATGTCAGTTGGTGTGTGCGATGTCAGTTTTTGTGTGTGACGTCAGTTGGTGTGTGTGACGTCAGTTGGTGTGTGTGTGATGTCATTTGGTGTGTGTGACGTCAGTTGGTGTGTGTGACGTCAGTTGGTGTGTGTGAAGTCAGTTTGTGTGTGTGACGTCAGTTGGTGTGTGTGTGTGACGTCAGTTGGTGTGTGTGACGTCAGTTTGTGTGTGTGACAGTTGGTGTGTGTGTGTGATGTCAGTTGGTGTGTGTGACGTCAGTTGGTGTGTGTGACGTCAGTTGGTGTGTGTGACGTCAGTTTGTGTGTGTGACGTCAGTTGGTGTGTGTGTGACGTCAGTTGGTGTGTGTGACGTCAGTTTGTGTGTGTGTGACGTCAGTTGGTGTGTGTGTGATGTCAGTTGGTGTGTGTGTGACGTCAGTTGGTGTGTGTGACGTCAGTTGGTGTGTGTGACGTCAGTTGGTGTGTGTGTGACGTCAGTTGGTGTGTGTGTGACGTCAGTTGGTGTGTGTGTGACGTCATTTGGTGTGTGTGACGTCAGTTGGTGTGTGTGACGTCAGTGGGTGTGTGTGACGTCAGTTGGTGTGTGTGACGTCAGTTGGTGTTTGTGACGTCAGTTGGTGTGTGTGACGTCAGTTGGTGTGTGTGACGTCCGTTGGTGTGTGTGACGTCCGTTGGTGTGTGTGTGACGTCAGTTGGTGTGTGTGACGTCAGTTGGTGTGTGTGACGTCCGTTGGTGTGTGTGACGTCCGTTGGTGTGTGTGTGACGTCAGTTGGTGTGTGTGTGACGTCTGTTGGTGTGTGTGTGACGTCAGTTGGTGTGTGTGACGTCAGTTGGTGTGTGTGACGTCAGTTGGTGTGTGTGTGACGTCAGTTGGTGTGTGTGACGTCAGTGGTTGTGTGTGACGTCAGTGGTTGTGTTTGATGTGAGTTGGTGTATGTGTGACGCCAGTTGGTGTGTGTGACGTCAGTTGGTGTGTGTGACGTCAGTTGGTGTGTGTGACGTCAGTTGGTGTGTGTGACGTCAGTGGGTGTGTGTGTGACGTCAGTTGGTGTGTGTGACGTCAGTGGGTGTGTGTGACATCAGTTGGTGTGTGTGAGGTCAGTTGGTGTGTGTGACGTCAGTTGGTGTTTGTGTGACGTCAGTTGGTGTGTGTGACGTCAGTTGGTGTGTGTGACGTCAGTTGGTGTGTGTGACGTCAGTTGGTGTGTGTGACGTCCGTTGGTGTGTGTTACGTTAGTTGATGTGTGTGACGTCAGTTGGTGTGTGTCACGTCAGTTGGTGTGTGTGATGTCAGTTGGTGTGTGTGACGTCAGTTGGTGTGTGTGACGTCAGTTGGTGTGTGTGACGTCAGTTGGTGTGTGTGACGTCAGTTTGTGTGTGTGTGACGTCAGTTGGTGTGTGTGACGTCAGTTGGTGTGTGTGACGTCAGTTGGTGTGTGTGACGTCAGTTGGTGTGTGTCACGTCAGTTGGTGTGTGTCACGTCAGTTGGTGCGTGTGACGTCAGTTGGTGCGTGTGACGTCAGTTGGTGTGTGTCACGTCAGTTGGTGTGTGTCACGTCAGTTGGTGCGTGTGACGTCAGTTGGTGCGTGTGACGTCAGTTGGTGCGTGTGACGTCAGTTGGTGTGTGTCACGTCAGTTGGTGTGTGTGACGTCAGTTGGTGTGTGTGTGACGTCAGTTGGTGTGTGTGATATCAGTTTGTGTGTGTGTGACGTCAGTTGGTGTGTGTGACGTCAGTTGGTGTGTGTGACGTTAGTTGGTGTGTGTGACGTCAGTTGGTGTGTGTGACGTTAGTTGGTGTGTGTGACGTCAGTTGGTGTGTGTGACGTCAGTTGGTGTGTGTGACGTCAGTTGGTGTGTGTGACGTCAGTTGGTGTGTGTGACGTCAGTTGGTGTGTGTGACGTCAGTTGGTGTGTGTGACCTCAGTTGGTGTGTGTGACGTCAGTTGGTGTGTGTGACGTCAGTTGGTGTGTGTGACGTCAGTTGGTGTGTGTGACCTCAGTTGGTGTGTGTGACGTCAGTTGGTGTGTGTGACCTCAGTTGGTGTGTGTGACGTCAGTTGGTGTGTGTGACCTCAGTTGGTGTGTGTGACGTCAGTTGGTGTGTGTGACGTCAGTTGGTGTGTGTGACGTCAGTTGGTGTGTGTGACGTCAGTTGGTGTGTGTGACGTCAGTTGGTGTGTGTGACCTCAGTTGGTGTGTGTGACGTCAGTTGGTGTGTGTGACCTCAGTTGGTGTGTGTGACGTCAGTTGGTGTGTGTGACCTCAGTTGGTGTGTGTGACGTCAGTTGGTGTGTGTGACCTCAGTTGGTGTGTGTGACGTCAGTTGGTGTGTGTGACCTCAGTTGGTGTGTGTGACGTCAGTTGGTGTGTGTGACCTCAGTTGGTGTGTGTGACGTCAGTGATATAAACCCATCCAACTCTCACACACGCCCCAGCAGCAGGTTGGATTAAAATGAAATTACATGAGTTGATGTGTGTAGGTGTGTAGCTCTGGAATTATCTTAGTGTGTAAACAAAGGAATGAGACTTTCTGGTGTGTAAACTTATGCTTTAAGCAGCAATGACAACTGTCTGTTTTTATCTGTGACAAGTGAGCTGTCAATCACAGCCCAGACCACGGCCAACTCGAAGCCCCCCTTCTTGTCCGGTGGTCCTCGGGCAACGCCCTTTTTAGAGAAACGTTTTAAATGTTCTTGTGGGCGGAGTAAGGCCGGGCACAGCTGTTTAGTCGCTCTTTAAGGTGACATGGGCTGTGTCCAAAACGCTAGGCATCGGGCCGCGTAGGGTGGATACGTAGGCACAGAGGGAAGACCACGTAGGCACAGGCGAGGTAGGAGGCGAGACGTGATGTGGATTTGGACAGCAGCTGCCTTCTGCCTTCGTCACGTGACTACACAACTCAGAGCGAAGCGGAAGGACACGGCGGCCATGATGGACGGTAAAAAGTTCTAAATACGCTTTAATTAGGACATAAAAGTTAATTCTAATATCATTTGAGGCGAGAAATATCCCCCTCTATTGTCATAACAGGGGTCTGTTTGGAGATAAATTCGAAAATTTTCGGACTTTACCTCCAGCCTGAAGCTCCGGTGCTATAAGCTAACAGCCCAGTTAGCTGCAGTGCTGAAGCCCAGAACAGGCTGTCTAAACACGGGTTCACGTAATGAGAGCCCCCTGGATGTTTACAATCGTATTCTGAAAAAACAGAGGATGCTTTTGTTGTTACACTTTCTCTGTTATAACAATTGTATTGGCAGTAATCATTAGTTTTTACAAAGTTATATTTTATGTAAACAATGCACATATATGCAATAAATTATTATTAGATATGGATTATATATTTGCTATGGCCCTCGTTTGTGCATCACTTAAAAGTAATTTTATCAGACCTAAATGTATTAACGTGTGTTTGCTGATGAGAGAGAAACATCAATTTATCTATAATAATAACTGACACATCCATTTATCTATAATAATAACTGGAACATCAATTTATCTATAATAATTATAACTGGAACATCCATCCAACATTATTAGATCTATAATAATAACTGACACATCCATGGATCTATAATAATAACGGACACATCCATGGATCTATAATAATAACTGACACATCCATGGATCTATAATAATAACTGACACATCCATGGATCTATAATAATAACTGACACATGGAAACATTAACAGACATCTGTAAAATGAAGTTGAACACAGATGTTTGACACTGCTCTTATTCACTTTTATGTCTCTTGAAAAGCTAACAGACCGTTACTAATCACATTTGAGTTTAATGTATTCAATTATAAGTATAAGTATAAGTACTGCTGACAAATATGTAGTTGTGTAAATAATACCTCACTTTGACTCTTTACATTTCACACAAACAACAAAATCATAATAAAACCAACAAGTTTGATTTTAGTTTTCTTTATTTCCAGGTTCTCTGAAGTGCTGTCGATGAGACCTGTGTCAGAGGCAGACCCCCAGGACTCTGCTGCTGCTCCTGCTGCTGCTCCTGCTGCTGTTGCTCCTGCTGCTGTTGCTCCTGCTGCTGTTGCTCCTGCTGCTGTTGCTCCTGCTGCTGTTGCTCCTTCTGCTGCTGCTGTTACTCCTCCTGTTGCTCCTTCTGCTGCTGCTGTTACTCCTCCTGTTGCTCCTTCTGCTGCTGCTGTTACTCCTCCTGTTGCTCCTTCTGCTGCTGCTGTTACTCCTCCTGTTGCTCCTTCTGCTGCTGCTGTTACTCCTCCTGTTGCTCCTTCTGCTGCTGCTGTTACTCCTCCTGTTGCTCCTTCTGCTGCTGTTGCTCTTTCTGCTGTTGCTCCTTCTGCTACATGTCTTCAGAGATGCAGAGCCCACTGTTCTAACTATTCATGACTGCTGATTAAAGGAAAATATTATATACAAGTTTGTTGTAGTTCATAATGTTTTCAGCAGTGAAGCAGGAGGTGATGGAGGTGAAGCAGGAGGTGATGGAGGTGAAGCAGGAGGTGATGGAGGTGAAGCTGGAGAAATTATGACCTTAATTTCACCACAAGTCTCTGAAAAAGAAGAACACAAACATCATGCATTAAAACACAGCCCACATTTAGGATTCTTTTTACACTTCATATTCAACTAATACTATTTATTTGGGGCTTTGCAAAAAACTGGTTAAAAATAAAATACAGAAATCCTTACAGTATTTAATATTAGAGGTACAAGCTTCACAGCAGGGGAAACAGAAGAATGATATGATAGAAATATACACAAATAATCAAGTTAGAAGCATGGCTAACCACTTTAAACCTGTGTTTGTGGAAGTGGGACTTTGTCCTCTGCAAATGTCTTATTCATGACAAACGAAACCTCTGTATAATGTGTGTTTACTATTTATTAGACTATTGTATGAAAAGGGCTTTATAATTATTCTTGGCCTATTCTATAATTCCATATGTCTAATATATACAGTTTTCCCAGTCTCAGTATGGGATTAAAAACGATATGCACAATCTATTTTATATGAATACAGAAAACATGTGTTGGCATACTATAGCTGCTGTGCTGCAGAGTGATTTTCCATGAAAACGTGACTTTCCTCAGTGTAGCTTTAATATTTAATCAGTGGGTTTGTTTCTCCCTAAAAGATAAAACACAACATGATTTTTCTTGTTCAAAAACCGAATCTGAATGAACTAGCCTCGTAGCATTAGCTTTTCGGGACTGAGCTTATTCACAGCAGATAACAAGGTTAAATACCTTGGCAGATCTAATTTATGTCTGTGTTTTATCATAACAGTCGTGTTCATAACTCAACAGTAAAGTATAGCAGTACTTACTATAGACATAACTTCACAGTAAAGTATAGCAGTGCTTACCATAATGTTAGCTCCAGCAGGTCCGAGCTGTTGTTTACATGTTAATGCCAAACGGAGTTCTGCGCATGCGCGGCCGTGACTTGGCAAAAAGAAGGCAGCGAAGCATACATCAGATGCATCCTTCATATCTGCTCCAAAAATGGCCGTTTCCATAGAGACGAAGTCATGATGCCTACGCTTGGCGAGCTCGCCAAGTGGTTTTGGACACCCCTGCAATAGCCGTCGCTTGAGGAAGTGACGTCACGAGCCTACATATCCACCCTACGCGGCCCGATGCCTAGCGTTTTGGACACAGCCATGGTGTGTGGGCTCGGGACGGTCCTGTCTGAACTGTTTATATGGTTAGCGTCTGGCTGAAAGGGGATAAAGGTGTGTATTTGAATGTGATTTTTATGATTCTTTTTTATGCCTTACTGAGTCAATCTATTCATGGTTTTTAGGTGAATTTGTGCGATGAAAATAAAAAAGGAAAATGGGCACATTCATCAGTCCGAGCCTTCATTAATTCAGCTAAAGCCACTGCATGCTTAATAAATAACAATTAACAGTTAATTAACCATCATTTATTCACTAATCAGACTAATCTTAAGACTTTAGAAACATGGGTCTACAGCCTCAGTCCTGGGTCTACAGCCTCAGTCCTGGGTCTACAGCCTCAGTCCTGGGTCTACAGCCTCAGTCCTGGGTCTACAGCCTCAGTCCCGGGTCTACAGCCTCAGTCCCGGGTCTGCAGCCTCAGTCCTGGGTCTACAGCCTCAGTCCTGGGTCTGCAGCCTCAGTCCTGGGTCTACAGCCTCAGTCCTGGGTCTACAGCCTCAGTCCTGGGTCTGCAGCCTCAGTCCTGGATCTACAGCCTCAGTCCTGGGTCTACAGCCTCAGTCCTGGGTCTAGAGCCTCAGTCCTGGGTCTGCAGCCTCGAGTCCTGGATCTACAGCCTCAGTCCTGGATCTACAGCCTCAGTCCTGGGTCTACAGCCTCAGTCCTGGGTCTGCAGCCTCAGTCCTGGGTCTACAGCCTCAGTCCTGGATCTCTACAGCCTCAGTCCTGGGTCTGCAGCCTCAGTCCTGGGTCTACAGCCTCAGTCCTGGGTCTACAGCCTCAGTCCTGGGTCTACGGCCTCAGTCCCGGGTCTGCAGCCTCAGTCCTGGGTCTACAGCCTCAGTCCTGGATCTACAGCCTCAGTCCTGGGTCTACAGCCTCAGTCCCGGGTCTACAGCCTCAGTCCCGGGTCTGCAGCCTCAGTCCTGGGTCTACAGCCTCAGTCCCGGGTCTACAGCCTCAGTCCTGGGTCTGCAGCCTCAGTCCTGGATCTACAGCCTCAGTCCTGGGTCTACAGCCTCAGTCCTGGGTCTAGAGCCTCAGTCCTGGGTCTGCAGCCTCGAGTCCTGGATCTACAGCCTCAGTCCTGGATCTACAGCCTCAGTCCTGGGTCTACAGCCTCAGTCCTGGGTCTGCAGCCTCAGTCCTGGGTCTACAGCCTCAGTCCTGGATCTACAGCCTCAGTCCTGGGTCTGCAGCCTCAGTCCTGGGTCTACAGCCTCAGTCCTGGGTCTACAGCCTCAGTCCCGGGTCTACAGCCTCAGTCCCGGGTCTGCAGCCTCAGTCCTGGGTCTACAGCCTCAGTCCTCTGCACCCATCCCCCGCTGACTGAGGCCCGGTCTATTCTTGTACAATACTAGAACTCTCAAACATTCAGTCCAAGTCCCCGTCATCTCCTTTAGCAGCCAAAGCTAACCAAACATGCTTTGCTAACCCTTCCTCGCCAGCGTCTCGCGGCCACATCCTCCGGTCTCACGCCACAGAAAGATCCTGTTTCTCAATCGTCTTTTACGAGAGCCCAGAGAAGCCACTTGTGCCGCGGTTTTTCCGACGTGTCAATTAAAGGCGCTCTAATTGGGAAGATGCTATTCCTGAAAAGCGTCGCTCTGGTCCAGGTCCGCTCTGGCTTTGTGTCCCGCGGTTTGCATTAGTGTGAGTGTGAATGGGGAGACGGCCTCAGGCTTGAATGTGAACATACTCAGAGACACTTGGAGGACGTTCTTGGGTGGTGGCAGAGTGGTTAGCCGCGAGGTCGTCAGGATTCCCCTTTTTAAAACCATAAAGGTCTGTTTTATTGTCTGTGGATGAAGGGTCCTCGCTCATCTCAAGACGGAGAGTAACTTAAGTATTGTTGAAGTGACTCGGAGAGAGTGGTGCAGCAGGTGAAGCAGGGCCAAACAACAGCATTAGCATTAGCATTAGCATTAGCGTTAGCATAGCGGAGGTTGTAACGGTTGACACGAGGACTTCCAGAATCCAGAAACTACAAGAACTTCCTTTCAAATCAACGGAATTTCAAAATAATGTTGAATATAACTTGAAACACAGCTAAATCTGGGCTAATGCTAGCTGCTAACGTGTAAACCGTCCCTTTCTACGCCCTTTTACAGCTGTTGTCCAGTTCAGATTCGTGCTTTCTCTGCACACGGTGATGACGGACGCGAGAGTTCAAACACACCGCACCATCACTCGTTACGTTCAGACCTATCGCACATGTTTTTAGTGGTAGTGGGAAACCGGAGCACCTGGAGGAAACCTACAGACTCGGGGAGAGGCCACAGAAAGGCCTGGAGGTGGAATCAAACACAGGAACTAGCTAACACAAGCTAACAGTGTGGCCCAAGTCTGTGGTAGAGAGAGGATATTCTCCGGCTCAAGTATTGGACTGAGCTGGGGTCGTTTTCTGCTAAAGCTAATCTCTCGCTAACCGTCTTGAACCGGCCGCGGTGGCGTTGTGGAGGCGGTGGCGTTGTGGAGGCGGTGGCGTTGTGGGAGGCGGTGGCGTTGTGGAGGCGGTGGCGTTGGGGAGGCGGTGGCGTTGTGGAGGCGGTGGCGTTGTGGAGGCGGTGGCGTTGGGGAGGCGGTGGCGTTGGGGAGGCGGTGGCGTTGGGGAGGCGGTGGCGTTGGGGAGGCGGTGGCGTTGGGGAGGCGGTGGCGTTGTGGAGGCGGTGGCGTTGTGGAGGCGGTGGCGTTGTGGGAGGCGGTGGCGTTGGGGAGGCGGTGGCGTTGGGGAGGCGGTGGCGTTGGGGAGGCGGTGGCGTTGTGGAGGCGGTGGCGTTGTGGAGGCGGTGGCGTTGGGGAGGCGGTGGCGTTGGGGAGGCGGTGGCGTTGGGGAGGCGGTGGCGTTGGGGAGGCGGTGGCGTTGGGGAGGCGGTGGCGTTGGGGAGGCGGTGGCGTTGTGGAGGCGGTGGCGTTGTGGAGGCGGTGGCGTTGGGGAGGCGGTGGCGTTGGGGAGGCGGTGGCGTTGGGGAGGCGGTGGCGTTGTGGAGGCGGTGGCGTTGTGGAGGCGGTGGCGTTGGGGAGGCGGTGGCGTTGGGGAGGCGGTGGCGTTGGGGAGGCGGTGGCGTTGTGGAGGCGGTGGCGTTGGGGGAGGCGGTGGCGTTGTGGAGGCGGTGGCGTTGTGGAGGCGGTGGCGTTGGGGAGGCGGTGGCGTTGGGGAGGCGGTGGCGTTGGGGAGGCGGTGGCGTTGTGGAGGCGGTGGCGTTGGGGAGGCGGTGGCGTTGTGGAGGCGGTGGCGTTGTGGAGGCGGTGGCGTTGGGGAGGCGGTGGCGTTGGGGAGGCGGTGGCGTTGGGGAGGCGGTGGCGTTGGGGAGGCGGTGGCGTTGGGGAGGCGGTGGCGTTGTGGAGGCGGTGGCGTTGTGGAGGCGGTGGCGTTGGGGAGGCGGTGGCGTTGGGGAGGCGGTGGCGTTGGGGAGGCGGTGGCGTTGTGGAGGCGGTGGCGTTGTGGAGGCGGTGGCGTTGGGGAGGCGGTGGCGTTGGGGAGGCGGTGGCGTTGGGGAGGCGGTGGCGTTGGGGAGGCGGTGGCGTTGGGGAGGCGGTGGCGTTGTGGAGGCGGTGGCGTTGTGGAGGCGGTGGCGTTGTGGAGGCGGTGGCGTTGGGGAGGCGGTGGCGTTGGGGAGGCGGTGGCGTTGGGGAGGCGGTGGCGTTGTGGAGGCGGTGGCGTTGTGGAGGCGGTGGCGTTGGGGAGGCGGTGGCGTTGGGGAGGCGGTGGCGTTGTGGAGGCGGTGGCGTTGTGGAGGCGGTGGCGTTGGGGAGGCGGTGGCGTTGGGGAGGCGGTGGCGTTGGGGAGGCGGTGGCGTTGTGGAGGCGGTGGCGTTGGGGAGGCGGTGGCGTTGTGGAGGCGGTGGCGTTGTGGAGGCGGTGGCGTTGGGGAGGCGGTGGCGTTGGGGAGGCGGTGGCGTTGGGGAGGCGGTGGCGTTGGGGAGGCGGTGGCGTTGGGGAGGCGGTGGCGTTGTGGAGGCGGTGGCGTTGTGGAGGCGGTGGCGTTGGGGAGGCGGTGGCGTTGGGGAGGCGGTGGCGTTGGGGAGGCGGTGGCGTTGTGGAGGCGGTGGCGTTGTGGAGGCGGTGGCGTTGGGGAGGCGGTGGCGTTGGGGAGGCGGTGGCGTTGGGGAGGCGGTGGCGTTGGGGAGGCGGTGGCGTTGGGGAGGCGGTGGCGTTGTGGAGGCGGTGGCGTTGTGGAGGCGGTGGCGTTGTGGAGGCGGTGGCGTTGGGGAGGCGGTGGCGTTGGGGAGGCGGTGGCGTTGGGGAGGCGGTGGCGTTGTGGAGGCGGTGGCGTTGTGGAGGCGGTGGCGTTGGGGAGGCGGTGGCGTTGGGGAGGCGGTGGCGTTGGGGAGGCGGTGGCGTTGTGGAGGCGGTGGCGTTGGGGAGGCGGTGGCGTTGTGGAGGCGGTGGCGTTGTGGAGGCGGTGGCGTTGGGGAGGCGGTGGCGTTGGGGAGGCGGTGGCGTTGGGGAGGCGGTGGCGTTGGGGAGGCGGTGGCGTTGGGGAGGCGGTGGCGTTGTGGAGGCGGTGGCGTTGTGGAGGCGGTGGCGTTGGGGAGGCGGTGGCGTTGGGGAGGCGGTGGCGTTGGGGAGGCGGTGGCGTTGGGGAGGCGGTGGCGTTGGGGAGGCGGTGGCGTTGGGGAGGCGGTGGCGTTGTGGAGGCGGTGGCGTTGTGGAGGCGGTGGCGTTGGGGAGGCGGTGGCGTTGGGGAGGCGGTGGCGTTGGGGAGGCGGTGGCGTTGTGGAGGCGGTGGCGTTGGGGAGGCGGTGGCGTTGGGGAGGCGGTGGCGTTGGGGAGGCGGTGGCGTTGGGGAGGCGGTGGCGTTGGGGAGGCGGTGGCGTTGGGGAGGCGGTGGCGTTGGGGAGGCGGTGGCGTTGGGGAGGCGGTGGCGTTGGGGCTCTCCGCTGCCTCGCTGCCTCGGCACATGTGAGAGCACTTTGGTGAAACAACATCTCGTGTTTGTCTTGTATTCTATGACACGGCGTCGGAGCTAAAGCCTCTTCTTCCAACGCCCCGAGCGCTTCTTAATAAAACACGCCTTAATCTCTGCCGGCGATTACCGCGCTCGCCGCCGCAAATGAGACGCAGACATCGGGCTCGTCCTGGTCCGTCCTCCCGGCTCTAATCGCATCCTCTTTCCACCTCCTCTGGTTTCCTCGGGCCGTGGGTCCAGGGTCAGGCTGAGGCCGCTGCCGAGGTTGGAAATTGAGTTAAAAGAATAAAATGTTTGTGTAAGAATAAAGAATGTTGTTTATCGTGTTGGAAAATACTTTAGATAAACGTGAAACAAAAAACTCTGCGACAAGTGATGAAATATGAGCTGATAAATGAAGCGGTCGCAGGTTTTGTCCAGGGCGTTAAATTAATCTTGTTTTAATATTCATTTATTGCCACATTTTTTGCGAGTTTGTTTACGAACATGTTTCTCACTGGATTTGTGTTTTAAGAATTAAGATTATTATTATTACTGTTTACTGAACTTTTTAGGTGAAGTTGCTCCACAGCTTTCAGATGTTACAAAACAGATAAACTTAATGTTATGGAGTGAATTATAAACACCTGTATTCATTTTATTTTTTATATTATGATATTTTATTATTTGAAACTAATTGTTATTGTCAATTCAAGCACAAGATGGTCCTATGTCCAAGACCATGCGTGTCAAAGTCAAGGCCCAGGAGCCAGATCCGGCCCACGCATGACTGATCTTGGGCCCTGGGATGATATTGGAGTGTTAGAACCGACCGCACTGAGGTTTGATTATTTATTTAACTTTCAGGACGTGTTTTCTCTTTGAAGGACGTTTGTTTTGGTCTCTGAGCTGTTGAAACATTATGCAATGGTTTTTATGCACCATGTCCTAGTCCCATGTCCTAGACCCATGTCCTAGTCCCATGTCCTAGTCCCATGTCCTAGTCCTATGTCCTAGTCACATGTCCTAGTCACATGTCCTAGTCTCATGTCCTAGTCCCATGTCCTAGTCCCATGTCCTAGTCCCATGTCCTAGTCACATGTCCTAGTCCTATGTCCTAGTCCCATGTCCTAGCCCCATGTCCTAGTCTCATGTCCTAGTCCCATGTCCTAGTCCCATGTCCTAGTCCCATGTCCTAGTCCCATGTCCTAGTCACATGTCCTAGTCCCATGTCCTAGTCCCATGTCCTAGTCCCATGTCCTAGTCCTATATCCTAGTCCTATGTCCTAGTCGCATGTCCTAGTCCCATGTCCTAGTCCTATGTCCTAGTCCTATATCCTAGTCCTATGTCCTAGTCCCATGTCCTAGTCTCATGTCCTAGTCCTATGTCCTAGTCTCATGTCCTAGTCCTATGTCCTAGTCCCATGTCCTAGTCCCATGTCCTAGTCTCATGTCCTAGTCCCATGTCCTAGTCACATGTCCTAGTCCTATATCCTAGTCCTATGTCCTAGTCCCATGTCCTAGTTTCATGTCCTAGTCCTATGTCCTAGTCTCATGTCCTAGTCCTATGTCCTAGTCTCATGTCCTAGTCCCATGTCCTAGACCCATGTCCTAGACCCATGTCCTAGCCCCATGTCCTAGTCACATGTCCTAGTCCCATGTCCTAGTCTCATGTCCTAGTCCCATGTCCTAGTCCCATGTCCTAGTCCTATATCCTAGTCTCATGTCCTAGTCCCATGTCCTAGTCTCATGTCCTAGTCCTATATCCTAGTCTCATGTCCTAGTCCCATGTCCTAGTCCTATGTCCTAGTCTCATGTCCTAGTCCTACGTCCTAGTCCCATGTCCTAGTCCCATGTCCTAGTCTCATGTCCTAGTCCCATGTCCTAGTCTCATGTCCTAGTCCTATATCCTAGTCCTATGTCCTAGTCCCATGTCCTAGTCTCATGTCCTAGTCCTATGTCCTAGTCTCATGTCCTAGTCCTATGTCCTAGTCCCATGTCCTAGTCGCATGTCCTAGACCCATGTCCTAGACCCATGTCCTAGACCCATGTCCTAGTCTCATGTCCTAGTCTCATGTCCTAGTCTCATGTCCTAGTCCCATGTCCTAGTCTCATGTCCTAGTCCCATGTCCTAGTCCCATGTCCTAGTCCCATGTCCTAGTCCTATGTCCTAGTCCTATGTCCTAGTCCTATATCCTAGTCTCATGTCCTAGTCCTATGTCCTAGTCCTATGTCCTAGTCCTATGTCCTAGTCCCATGTCCTAGTCCCATGTCCTAGTCTCATGTCCTAGTCCCATGTCCTAGTCCCATGTCCTAGCCCCATGTCCTAGTCTCATGTCCTAGTCCCATGTCCTAGTCTCATGTCCTAGTCCCATGTGAGGTACTCTCTGAGGTAAGTGAAGATGTGTATCACTGAAATACGTCCCCATCTCTGTCCGTCCCGTTGCTAATGACACCTCTGCTCCTGCGTTCAAAGCTGAGGCCTAACATCCAAACACCGACATCGATCCCGGTCTTTAAAGTAGATCTAACTTTGCCGCTGGAAAAGCCCTGTCTGTGTAAACCCCCGGCCGGCCCTCCTCTCGGGACGTCCCACACTGGTCGCCGTGTCTCGCCGTGTCCCCTGTGTTCGCAGCAGTGTAACCCACACCCTGAGTACGCGAGCGGGACACTGTCTGATCCCGGTAACAGGACACCCCCCCCCTCTCTGCCTCCCCCCCCTCCCCCGGTGTCCGCCCGGCCAGCTCCGCTCTGGCCCCTGACCCGCGCCCGCCTGCCATCTGGGCCCAGGCCGAGGCACGGGGAGCGAGGGTACGGGTGAAGACGGGGTTTGGAGACGGCGTGTTCAGGGGTGAGATGGAGAAAGTTTTTATAATGAGACCAAAGTGTAAAGATAGTTCTGCTTTTCTATGTTTGAGCGGGAAGTGGGGCGCATGGACCATCAACAGAGACCAGGGGGCCTATAATCTGACTCATACCTGGGACTCACTATGACAGAGACTACTCCAGACAGAGACCAGAGAGAGAGACTATAGAGAGAGACCAGAGAGAGACCAGAGAGAGACCAGAGAGAGAGACCAGAGAGAGACCAGAGAGAGACCAGAGAGAGACCAGAGAGAGACCAGAGAGAGACCAGAGAGAGACCAGAGAGAGACCAGAGAGAGACCAGAGAGAGACCAGAGAGAGAGACCAGAGAGAGACCAGAGAGAGACCAGAGAGAGAGACCAGAGAGAGAGACCAGAGAGAGACCAGAGAGAGACCAGAGAGAGACCAGAGAGAGACCAGAGAGAGACCAGAGAGACCAGAGAGAGACCAGAGAGAGACCAGAGAGAGACCAGAGAGAGAGACCAGAGAGAGACCAGAGAGAGAGAGAGAGACCAGAGAGAGACCAGAGAGAGAGACCAGAGAGAGAGAGAGGCCAGAGAGAGACCAGAGAGAGACCAGAGAGAGAGACCAGAGAGAGACCAGAGAGAGACCAGAGAGAGACCAGAGAGAGGCCAGAGAGAGACCAGAGAGAGACCAGAGAGAGAGACCAGAGAGAGGCCAGAGAGAGACCAGAGAGAGACCAGAGAGAGGCCAGAGAGAGACCAGAGAGAGACCAGAGAGAGAGACCAGAGAGAGGCCAGAGAGAGACCAGAGAGAGACCAGAGAGAGAGACCAGAGAGAGGCCAGAGAGAGACCAGAGAGAGGCCAGCGAGAGACCAGAGAGAGACCAGAGAGAGACCAGAGAGAGACCAGAGAGAGGCCAGAGAGAGAGACCAGAGAAAGAGACCAGAGAGAGCCGAGAGAGAGACCAGAGAGAGACCAGAGAGAGAGACCAGAGAGAGGCCAGAGAGAGACCAGAGAGAGAGACCAGAGAGAGACCAGAGAGAGAGACCAGAGAAAGAGACCAGAGAGAGACCAGAGAGAGAGACCAGAGAGAGGCCAGAGAGAGACCAGAGAGAGACCAGAGAGAGACCAGAGAGAGGCCAGAGAGAGACCAGAGAGAGACCAGAGAGAGAGACCAGAGAGAGGCCAGAGAGAGACCAGAGAGAGGCCAGCGAGAGACCAGAGAGAGACCAGAGAGAGACCAGAGAGAGACCAGAGAGAGGCCAGAGAGAGAGACCAGAGAAAGAGACCAGAGAGAGGCCAGAGAGAGACCAGAGAGAGACCAGAGAGAGAGACCAGAGAGAGGCCAGAGAGAGGCCAGAGAGAGACCAGAGAGAGAGACCAGAGAAAGAGACCAGAGAGAGACCAGAGAGAGAGACCAGAGAGAGGCCAGAGAGAGACCTAATAGAGACCTGAGAGAGACCAGAAAGAGACCAGAGAGAGACCAGAGAGAGACCAGAGAGAGAGACCAGAGAGAGACCCGAGAGAGACCAGAGAGAGACCAGAGAGAGACCAGAGAGAGACCAGAGAGAGAGACCAGAGAGAGAGCCAGAGAGAGACCAGAGAGAGAGACCAGAGAGAGACCAGAGAGAGAGACCAGAGAAAGAGACCAGAGAGAGACCAGAGAGAGAGACCAGAGAGAGGCCAGAGAGAGACCTAATAGAGACCTGAGAGAGACCAGAAAGAGACCAGAGAGAGACCAGAGAGAGACCAGAGAGAGACCAGAGAGAGAGACCAGAGAGAGACCCGAGAGAGACCAGAAAGAGACCAGAGAGAGACCAGAGAGAGACCAGAGAGAGAGACCAGAGAGAGACCAGAGAGAGAGACCAGAGAGAGACCCGAGAGAGACCAGAGAGAGACCAGAGAGAGACCAGAGAGAGAGACCAGAGAGAGAGACCAAATGTCAAAATCTGTCAGAATGACTGCTTTGGGATCCATCAGAATGACTGCTTTGGGATCCGTCAGAATGACTGCTTTGGGATCCATCAGAATGACTGCTTTGGGATCCATCAGAATGACTGCTTTGGGATCCATCAGAATGACTGCTTTGGGATCCATCAGAATGACTGCTTTGGGATCCATCAGAATGACTGCTTTGGGATCCATCAGAATGACTGCTTTGGGATCCATCAGAATGACTGCTTTGGGATCCGTCAGAATGACTGCTTTGGGAGTCCATGTGTTAAATGGATCATCAGTGTCCTTAGATCCTGCTGCATCCGAGACAGAAACTCAGCGAGAGATAAGAATAAAACCCAGACACGGACCATGTGCGGCAAAGATGTCTGAAAACACGTGTTGCACCGTGTTGTGACCATGGCCCGGACCATGTGTATGCACCATGTGTATTAGGGCTGCACAATATTGGAAATTAGTGAGAGATTAAATATGAGTGTGTAGTATTGCGATATTTTTTTCTTTCACCTAAAATTACATCTATTTTGAAACGAGACAAATGACAAATAATGACATTTAAATTCATATATTTATTTACTTCTTTGTTTGTTTTGTTGTTGTTTTTCTTGAACATGTGTATGTACCATGTGTATGTACCATGTGTATGTTCCTTGTGTATGTACCATGTGTATGCTCCTTGTGTATGTACTATGTGTATGTTCCGTGTGTATGTACCATGTGTATGTACCATGTGTATGTACCGTGTGTATGTACCGTGTGTATGTACCATGTGTATGTACCATGTGTATGTACTGTACCATGTGTATGTACCATGTGTATGTACCATGTGTATGTACCATGTGTATGTACCGTGTGTATGTACCATGTGTATGTACCATGTGTATGTACCGTGTGTATGTACCAAGTGTATTTTCCGTGTGTATGTACCAAGTGTATTTTCCGTGTGTATTTTCCATGTGTATGTACCATGTGTCTGTGTATGTACCATGTGTATGTACCATGTGTATGTACCGTGTGTCTGTGTATGTACCGTGTGTATGTACCATGTGTATTTTCCGTGTGTATTTTCCATGTGCATGTACCATGTGTCTGTGTATGTACCATGTGTATGTGTATGTACCATGTGTATGTGTGTGTACCATGTGTATGTACCATGTGTAGTTTCTGCTGCTCCTGCTGTGACTTTAAGAATCAGAGAAAGAACCAAACAGACGTGGTCAGCGGAGGAAAGGCTTTTGTCACAGACTGAGTCAATAAACAAACCCGACAGATGTGGTCCAGGCCGATCCCAGCTACAGATGTACCTGTGCTCCCCCGCCCCCCCCCCCCCCCTCCTCCCCTGTCCAATCAAACACACTGTCCAGAGAGGGGACAGATCAATGATGAATCACAGGGAGGCACATCTGCGCCGCACACCCACAGACCGCTCTGTTCTGACGAATAAGGAAAAAGTCCAACAGTGACTCACAAGATTTACTGAATGAAGCAAAACATTTCAATAAGACGTTTTTTTACTATGTCTGAAGTTTAAACCATCTCAGTCTCTCCGTCTTCACCTCACACCACTCACTGCACTGAAGGCATGCACAGTGTACAGATGGACAATGCTAACATGCTAGCTCCAGGAAGCTATCGTTGAAACTAGTGTTATTGAAGCTGGTGTTTATATTGTGATATTGTCTTTGTAAATCAGATGGCTTAACTTGCGATGGGAAACTCCTGTTTGCCTTAGCAACCGCCTTAGCAACACATGTTATGGCATGACGCCCATAAGGAAATTGGCTCCAGCTAGCTTATGCTTAAATCGGCTTCTTCTGCTAGACGAGGGACAGGGGAAGGACAGAGGGAGGGCAGTTAGTCGGCATATATTGGTGAGTATTTAGCTTCCTGATTGGACGCAATCAGGAGAGAGAAAGAGACCAGAGAGAGAGACCAGTAGTTACAGCTACCATCAATCATTGTTTCCCAGTCGCCCTCGCCCTGGGGCAGCCTGATGACAGTATGGCAGGCTGAGAGAGGGATAATCCTGTCACTTCTGTTTCCTCTGAGACGCAACTCTTTCCTCACGACTTTTTTTTCCCACTTCTGCTTTTCCACAACTGGACCTGTGCTCTCAGCCCTGTGCTCTCTATCCCTGTGCTCTGTCCCTGTGTTCTGTCCCTGTGCTCTGTCCCTGTGCTCTCCTGTGCAGGTCTGTGTCTCTGGGCAAAGAGAGTGAGTCAGGTTTAACACTGACTCTGTCTCTGTCATTATTCTCTCACTACAAACTACTGTAGCCACAGCTGCCCTGGGGCACACTGACAGAAGTGAGGCAACCAGTCTGTGCCATCGGCCCCTCCCACCACCACCAACCATTCACACACACACCAGACTCATTCTAGTGTGGGGGAAGTGTCTTGCCCCCCCTCTGGGCATTTAAGCACCGCCTGGAGGTGCTTTGCCCAGAGGCACGTGCGCACACACACAGTAATCATGTGCACACAGACCAGGAACCAGCCACTTCCTCAGGACACACACTTTTATACTTTAAACACCATGAGGCTCCTGCGACGGCGGCGGGAGGGTAAGTACTTCCTGTCTCCCCCCTCCCTCCCCCTTCCCCCCTCTGCTGCTACTGTAAATGTGAAATATAGACCAGACAGAGACCAGAGAGACCAGAGAGACCAGAGAGAGACCAGAGAGAGACCAGAGAGAGACCAGAGAGAGACCAGAGAGAGACCAGAGAGAGACCAGAGAGAGACTAGAGAGGGACCAGAGAGAGACCAGAGAGAGACCAGAGAGAGACCAGAGAGAGACCAGAGAGAGACCAGAGAGAGACCAGAGAGAGACCAGACAGAGGCCAGAGAGAGACCTGAGAGAGACCAGAGAGAGAGACCAGAAAGAGATCAGAGAGAGACCAGAGAGAGAGACCAGAGAGAGACCAGAGAGAGAGACCAGGGAGAGACCAGAGAGAGACCAGAGAGAGACCAGAGAGAGAGACCAGATAGAGAGACCA